TCTTTCCCTCCTCTACGACTCTTCTTCTTCTTCTTCTATTTCCCTAGCAACAAATCACCGTATTCTATTCGCTTTCCAATTGAAGTTTTCGGTACTTTTTATTCGATTGCATTGAATTTCAATTAACATCATGTTGAATCACGTAAAAGTATCTTGGCGTGGTTGCAGAGGTCCATATATTGAAGAGGAAAAATGAGTCGAGGAGGCGCAGCAGGAGCGAAGGGGAAGAAGAAGGGAGCAACATTCACCATTGACTGTGCAAAGCCAGTGGAAGACAAGATCATGGACATTGCCTCTCTCGAGAAGTTTCTTCAAGAGAGGATCAAGGTTGCTGGTAAAGCTGGTGCTCTCGGTGACACTGTTAACGTTACCCGTGAGAAGACCAAGATCACCGTCACCTCCGACAGTAACTTCTCCAAACGGTATTTTTCTTTTTGCATATTACTGTAGTATGAAAAATGTGTGGCAGTAGATTGCTTATATATGCAAACTATATACCATAGCAAGTTGACGTTCCTTGAAAATTGTGGATAAATGCGGCTGATGTGATCATAATTCGAGTTTTTTAAATTCAAAATGGCCTATCATTGTTTAGGACGTGGATTTAAGCTTGTTTAGATTAACTCCACCGTAGAAAACTTATACGAGAAGAAAATGAGAGGCTTAGATGAATTTAGTTTCTCCCATGAGTTTGAATCAACATGTACTTTACTTAAGTTCATGGTTTTAAATTGCTGTCCACAACTGCAATTGCGGCCTCAACATTAAAGTTTTTGGATCCATCATTATTGGAATTACGGCCGCATCAGTCAAATTTTTCCGCAATGCCAAGGATTGAGACAACAACCGCGATATAGAGCCATGTTTAAGTTCTTATTTAACCTTTTTCGAAAGTCAAGATATATAAATTGATTTTAGCTTGTGGGAAACGTGATATATTTTTACTTTCTTATTTTATTAGTGCTTAGTGTTATATTGTGTTTTCAGACTTGTTTCCATTTATTTTGATTTCTGTGGGATAAGGTGCAAGTGTGTAACTGCTCATATGATACCAGGTATTTGAAGTACTTGACTAAGAAGTACTTGAAGAAACACAATGTGCGTGACTGGCTCAGAGTGATTGCTTCAAACAAGGATAGAAGTGTTTATGAACTGAGGTACTTCAACATAGCTGAGAATGAGGGTGAGGAAGAAGATTAGTTATCTGATAACCTAATTCGCATAAGGGTTTAATTTTACCCTTTTTCCTGTAGCTAGCTTCCTTTTTTGGCAAGTATTGGTTGAGATAACACTGCTTTTTTTGATCTGTTGCAATTTAATTGGTTTTGATAATTTAAGAGTTTTGATGTTGAATTGGGAACAGAGTTTACATATTATTCTGCGTTGTTTCAGTATTTAATATGGTTAAATTGCATTATCTTTCTTTCCACAATCTCATAATTTTATCTTTGCCTAAATCAGCATAAATTCCTCCTTCTGTGCCCTATTTTTTGTTCCCAGACTGGGTGCACTTGAAGTAGGTTTATCACTTGTTGCTTTTGTTTGGTCGATGGCCATCCTGGTGGGGGAATTAATTTTGCATAGTACCCATGCTTGTTGCTTGGGTAATTATTCAGTGGATATAATTAATTTTGTAAAAAATGAAATTGAACCTTTTCTGTTGCATGGAATTGATTGGTGATGTGGGAACAAACTTTTGTAGCTTTCTTATAAATTATCATACCTAAACAAAAGAATATTTCAAAATCACTTCTATTAAAATCTAAAATAAGGGGGATTGTAATTGCTTCATGCCTTCATGGCAGCAAAAAGTAAGGAGTTTGCAGTGTGCAGGCTAGTTACTTGGATTAGAAAAAGGTACTAGGGAGTGAGAATATTATATGTGATGTGTCAATATGTTGTCAAGTTTTACTCTCTCTTTAGAAACTAGCTTTCTCGTCCCAAAATTTCTTGAAGGTAATTGCTACAATGCCGGTTTGTTTGAGAGGGTTTGGTTGCCCCTTTTGTCATTAGCAAATCAGATGTTGACACGCATGATGAATAAGTTGAGTCATGGTTAGCTCTCACGTAACCGATGAAGGGACAATTTTGAAATTTTACTTGGGGCAATAACATTTTTTATTTCATTGCGGTAGGACTTAGCCAATGCTCCAAACCCTAACAACTTCTTCTTCCAACAGTTGTTGTCGCTGTCGCATCCCAATCCCAACAATGCATACTACCAACCCGTGCCCTATTATTCTCTATCAAACATTGCTCCTAAACTTGCAATCAACCAAGTCGTTAGTGCCACCACTGTCGCCTACCATGCCCTTCTCGTTGTCGACAACTTCGTCTCCGTGTGGAAGGTCTCCCACAACGCACTCTTGACGCTCCAAGTCGATTCATGGAACTCCTTGGGCATCAAAATGCAGCAAGTTCCCTCGCTTCATTGTCTCATGATCACCGAAGGCAAGGTATGTGTCATAATATCATATCACTCGTGGAGGATTTTACACTGTCATCGACGGTGATGGCTGTCAGAAGAAGAAATTGTTAGGGTTTGGAGCATTGGCGGAGTGTTGCAGTAATGAAATAAGAAATGTTACTGCCCAAGTGAAATTTCAAAATTGCTCATTGATCGATTATGTGAGAGTTAATCATGACTTAGCTTGTTTAACACACGTGTTAACATTTGATTTGCTAATGACAAAAGGGACACCCAAATCCTCTCAAACAAATTGGCATCGTAGCAATTGCCTTGCTTGAAATAGGAAATCTTGCATGCAAAGTTTCACACTTTCTCGTGTCAATATGGAGGTATGGAAGGACTACGTTAAGACTTGTATTTATGGGAAAATTTAATTCTTAGTATGTTAAGAAACTTGTACATGTATTTATGAGATAATTCAGGGTGTATTATCCGCCTCACACTTTTCAATGCACATTCATTGTTTCAAACACATCCTTAATTTGAGGGTGAGATAAATGAGTAGTATGTAAGTTGATGTGAACGACTTCTGCCCTTGCGAGTTTTGACACTGACTAGCGACTAGCGAGGTCATTGAAATAGCTGACTTAGTATAATTTCTTTTATGGGTGGCCAATACGATCTCATTTACGACCTTTTATTTTTTTTATTAAAATAAATAAATATGTACAATTTGTACAATATTTACTAATCTAATAGAAGAACATCCTTTCCCAATCCCGATTCTGTAAAGAGAATTTGTGCGGATGGTGAATTTCTCACAACAACTTTTTATTTATTTATTTAATTTCAGTTTTAAATTTAAATTTTAAAAATTAATTTAATTAATTTTATTTGTAAAATAATTGGTGAATAAAAATATTAATTTATGATTAATTTTTTTTATTTTGTAGAAATAAAGTAATATATTTTAGATATATAATCTGATTTGTAAATTTAAAAATAAGTTTTTGACAAAAATTAATTTAGTCTATAATAATTAGTGATTAAAATTGTTATTTTGTTATAAAAAAATTTTTTTATGGAATTTAATTATTATATTTAAGAAAAAGAGAAAAAAAAAATTATTGATGACATTAATTGAAATATATTAGATTAAATGAAAAACATACAATTCAAATATAAATTATAACTATTTTATTAATGATCTTTGGTTGGGAGATTTACTTTTTGTATGCCTTAGAATGTGACAGGATAAACATCTTTAAGGATGATTTTTTTCCCTAAGATCTATTTCGGTATGTATCTATGTGAAGCATGAACAACCTTTTGAATCTCTTCTCATGTTTGGATTGTAATATAATCATGGTCCATTATACTTGGGATAACATGTTTTATTTTGTAGCAATCTAAAGAGTGCATCGTATACATCGGAGACATTTTCTAACCTATAGATTGGGTGTATGTATGCATTATAGTCATGGTGCACATGAATACATGTTACAACTAACATATAAATCAGGTGTATGTACGCATTATAGTCATGGTGCACATGAATACATGTTACAATTACATATGAACATAACATGTGAAGTTTCTAAAAGTAACCACGATTGCACCATTCTTGATCTAACATCACTATAAGTATTTTCGTTAGTTGTCCTTTTCTTGGATAATTGCACCATAGTTATAATTATAAAAATTATTTTTATAATTATATTATTGTAAAAAACATAATTTCCCAATAATTAATGATTTTTTTCTTTTCTATTTCTGTTATATAATATGATTTAATCTAGTATTGTCACATAAGTATTTTTTGTGACAGTGTTATCTTGTGACAATGTTTGATGGAATGATGCAAACGTTTTTGTAATGGAATGGTGGTATAAACAAAAAGGTCGAACATTATAGGGATCATAATTAAAAAATAATAATAATCATATAAATCAAAAGCAAAAAAGTGATATATCTGTCCGAAGAAAAATAAAATGTTTAAATTGTATTTTTTTTTTAATTACAGTATTAGTAAGAAATATTTACCGTCACTGGCGACAATTAATCTCTATCAAAACTCAAGGAGCCGTGCAAAGTAAGTAAAATATAATTAAATGTAAAGTAAATGAAATGAATACATGTTAATTTTGTCATGAGTCACAACTCACAAGTTATACTTTTACCTAGGGGTGGGCAAAACGAACTGAACTGAACTGAACTTATAAAAACTATACTGAACTTAAAAGTAGTTCATATGAACTGAACTAAACTAAATATTAGTTCAGACGAACTGAACTGAACTATTCTTTTGTGTCATTGAACTGAACTGAACTATACTATAAAAACTTGAACTGAACTACAATTTAAACTGCACTAAACTGTTATGATATTTTGAATTGAACAATTTTGACTCATTGATCTATCAAAATAGGACACATTTGCCAACTTTACTTTATTTTCCATTTTATTTAAATTTTTCAAAGGAAAAAAATATAAAATTAAGTCAAACAAACTCAATGAATTTTAAGTCTAAAAATAAGTAGTTCAACATAACTCAATTAATCCGTTAAGTTCGACAAAATTGGTACAAATTTTTTTCAGATCACTTTTTTTCTAAAGTTTTGGTTATTAGACTATCGAGCTAATCCATTAAGACATAACATGTTAAACACATTTAATTTTTATTCTTTTATAAAAATAGTTCAATTTTTATAATTCAGTTCAGTTTTTATAGTTCAGTACAGTTCAACTTTACAACAGTTCAGTTCAGTTCAGTTTTTTTTTAAACAGTTCAGTTCAGTTTTTTTTTAAACAATTCAGTTCAGTTTTTTTACAAACAGTTCAGTTTTTTATGGTACAATTCACTACCAGTTCAGTTCAGTTCAGTTCAGTTCAGTTTTTTTTGCCCACCCCTACTTTTACTAGTCAATTTTTTTTTTTTTATCACAAAATGATATTAGTGTGAGCGAATTGAAATGTTATTGAAGATGGCTAGTCCTCACTCCTCGGTATCAGGCAATGTCATGAAATTCCTGGTCCCCTACATTTGCCGGATAGTCTATAATTATGCATTCATGAGCCCATAACTCTATAGATAATAAATTAATTAATATAAGCCAACGAAAAAAAGAACTGACAAATGATTATGGATTGCTCCGACACGCACCCATGTCATCTTATGTAAGCCTACCGGTAAAGAGAAATGACATATAACAAGTTAACAACCGTATGTAGAACAAAGATAGAGAAAATGAAAGGAGAAATAATTTTAAAATATAACAAATGATGTCATAACATATCCAAATAAAAATAATAATATCTTGTAAATTATTGATTTAATGCTACGACTCGTAGAAAGTATATTGATGCAAGTGAGTGGCGAATCCAAAAAATTTTAAATAGTAAAAATAATATTTATATATAAACTTGTAATATTTAATATATAATTTAACATTTTTTATTTTTATTTTTTTAAATATAATATACAATATAATTACTCTTTACGAAATTTTATATTTTAAAAATATTGAATAATTTTTTCATTTTTAAAATTTTAAAAATATATATAAATAATTAAATAATCAGTTAACTATTTATTAATAATATAATATATAAGTTTGGTTGGACCAACCATCACTCCTTTATTAACTTAATAATTTAACTAATATTACTTATATTAAGGGGAAAAGAGGTACATAGTGTTTTTATTTAAAAATAAAAAATAATGGTAATTATTTAAAAGATAAGAGATTTAGAAATTAAATGTTATTAAAGTAGAAAAAAATAGAGAATAAATAAATAAAAGATGAAATAAATGTTATTTAAAAATTATTATAAAAATAAATTAATTCAAAATTTATATACACTAAGAAGAGATATCTCCTTTATTAGTAGTATAACTATTATGAAAATATTTTAAAATACTAATATATTACATTTAATTTTTTTTACATAATAAAAATATGAAGAATAATGGGACACTTAACTTTTTTTAAAATGATAAGTTAAGATACTTTATTAAAATATGTATATGAAAAAATTATATGAGGACATTTGTCCCCCACAATAGGATGTACATCCATCCCTATATCCTAATAATTTTTTAATTTGATAAGTACATGAGTAATGAGTTGTATAAAAACTTGTTTAATATTATTTTATACTTTTATTATATTTAGTAATGATGTAAATAAAAATAATGATGCTGTAAACATTTTTGTCCTTGTATTATTATTTTAAAAACATAATTCAAAGGGTTATGTAAATCCTCTAATTTATTTGGATAAAAAAAATTATAGAAGCTCACAATTAAATGAATAATTTATGATTCAGATGTGCAATTTTGCGAGCTTTTACAGGACAATATGTAGATCTAAGCCTTGGCTATACTATACCCGTATGTAAGCATGAATTATAGGTTTTATTTGAATTTAAAGCACATAAAATTATAACAAAGCAAAAGTAAATGACAACTTTCACCCCCACTGAAAAACACGAGCTAATGCAAAAGTGAAATAAAATAACTTTTTTATTTTTATTTTTCGCATTTTTTTTCTCTCTCTCCATGCACTGAATGAAGTTTTATTTTATTTTTTATTGGATATTACCACATTATTTGTTGGTTTTAATTTTTAATTTTTCTCATTAATAATTTAAGTATTGTTTTAATTTTTAGTGACTATCCATATAAAGAGGTAAAACTAAAATTCTCAAACTGCTCTGTATACAGAATAAAGTTAACTTTTAAGAATAAGAAATATTAATCTATTTCACTTGCTATTTATTGAATTCAGAAAATAACTCATAATTAAAGATATTTTGGTTTAACAAAAGTTAATGTAGAAGAGATTTGAAATTAATTTTTATAAAATTGATCAAATAAAACCTCTAATACGGTTCATATAATAAATAAATAAATAAATCGAAAGAAGTAAAATATAAAGAACGACTTTCGAAAGGTTAAAAAAGTTAGGAGTTTTAATCCGTGAAACAATGGGCCACTTATTGAACTAAAAATTCAACATATTATAAATGTGAATATTACAGCATTATGCATACGTACACAATAATATATATATATATATATATATATATAAAAAAAATAAAATATAAATATA